AAAACGGTGGGCGACGCATATCCATTACCAAATATTGTAGATATACTCGATCAATTAGGAAGTGCAAAATATTTTTCAATATTTGATTTAAACATCTGGATTCCATCAAATTTTAATGGATAAAGATGACAAACATAAAACAGTTTTTTTCGACGTCTGCGGACATTTTGAATATAATCGCATGCCATTCGGATTAAAGAATGTTCCTGCTACGTTTCAAAGATTAATGGATCAAGTATTAACGGGATTGCAGTGAATCGAATTATTTGTTTATTAGACGACATTGTTATACAGGGTGTCCCATTTTAATGCCCCACCCCAAATAACTTTCTTATTTTTAATTTTAGAAAAAGATGTTTCAGACAAAAGTTGTATGGTTTCGAGGGGGACATAAGATGGTACCATTAATTTGATCTTGAAGAGTCACATGAAGGTTACGTGAAGATCATTTTCAATTTCTTAAATGGAACACCCTATATATTTTTGCATATTCTTGTAGCTTATCTCGAGAGCTTTCCAAAACACTATAAATAAACATTTTTTCATCAAGTACGTTTCGAGTAATGAGGCTTGAAATCATTTCTTAATTTTACATAAACCCATAAAATATCTTGTAAAATATTCATTTTTTGATTATCTTACCTTAATACTTTTATGTACAAAATAATGAGAGAAATCAATTGGTGTAAAGAAAACATACAGTTGTTTTTAAGAAAAAATATGGAATTGTTAATTGCAAATTACATATTTTTTTCTTAAAAACAACTGTATGTTTTCTTTGCACCAATGGATTTCTCTCATTATTTTGTACATGAAAGTATTAAGGTAAGATAATCAAAAAATGAATATTTTACAAGATATTTTATGGTTTATGTAAAATTAAGAAATGATTTCAAGCCTCATTACTCGAAACGTACTTGATGAAAAAATGTTTATTTATAGTGTTTTGGGAAAGCTCTCGAGATAAGCTACAAGAATATGCAAAAATATATAGGGTGTTCCATTTAAGAAATTGAAAATGATCTTCACGTAACCTTCATGTGACTCTTCAAGATCAAATTAATGGTACCATCTTATGTCCCCCTCGAAACCATACAACTTTTGTCTGAAACATCTTTTCTAAAATTAAAAATAAGAAAGTTATTTGGGGTGGGGCATTAAAATGGGACACCCTGTATACGCACGATCACTTGAAGAGCATGAAATAAAATTTCAACGATTAATGAAACGTCCATTAGAAGCAAATTTATTCCTACAACCAGATAAATGTGAATTTTTGAAAAGAGAAGTAGCATATCTTGGACATATAATAACCGAAAATGAAGTACGATCAGATAAAAAAAAATAATAGCTGTAAAAAATTTTCCAGCGCCAAAAACCAGAAAAAATATTAAACAATTTCTTGGACTTGCTGGATACTATCGAAGATTTATAGAAAACTTTTCTAAAATAGCCAAACCATTATTAGATTTAACCAAACAATCAAATACGTTTGAATGGAAGGAAGAACAACAAGAAGCTTTTGATAAACTGCGAGAAATTTTGTGTTCAGAACTCATATTACAATATCCAAATTTTAATGAGCCATTTATTATAACAATAGATGCATCCGAATATGCAATCCGAGCAATTTTAAGTTAAGGAAAAATGGGATCTGATCTCCCTATAGCTTACGCATCACGAGTATTAAATAACGCCGAAACAAGATATTCACCTACTGAAAGAAAATTATTAGCTCTTGTGTATGCAGTCAAACATTTTCGTCCTTACATTTACGGTCGTAAATTTACACTTGTTATGGATTATAAACCTTTAGAATAGTTAAACTCAGTATCAGATCCTATATCATGATTAATGAGATGGCGATTAAAACTCGCGGAATACGAGTATGAAATAAAATATAAACCTGAAAAGAAAAATAAAAATGCAGACGCTTTAAATCCTATCGAGGATATAAAAAATATACTCGTATATCCACTACATGCTAAACGCGCATTCTCCACATCTAGTGATATGTCAGCAGAAAAAGATTATAAGAAAATAAAAACATCACATCCTATTTCTAAAAGACAGTTAACTACAGATAGCGACGGATCTGGTAACCCGGCATCACATAAAAAAATAAGGACTGATAATTTACCAACTTACAACGATTCGGACAAGGAAGAATGTATCGAGTTACATGAAACATTATCGGATAGTGATAGCAGTACCATATCTTATTATTACGACACCGATATTGATAGCGACGATAATTCCGTAATGACTTCCAAAAAAACAAAAGAGAAAAACACGAAAGCAGCTCATTTGGGTCGACGCGTAAAACGAAAAAAATCGAAGGAAAATGCAAAAATGTCGGAAAATCAAATTCATCAACCGAAGAATGCGTTAATCTCGATACCACACCTGGAACATCGCAGTAGGGAGAATAGGTCGGTTCTAACTCACTTTTTCCACGAGTGCGAGAGAGAGGTCTGTAAGAGCAAGAGAGGTAGAAAAATATCTGAGGGTCAGGGTGACGGGCGGCGCGGGTGAGCAGGGGGATAGGTAGGGCGAGGGAAGCCACTCGCCATCGGGTGGGTCGTGACGTCACGCGGAGGGGGGAGGGCGAGGGGCGGCGCGGCGAGGGGGAGCGGGCAGGAGAGGGGTTCGGCGCGAGAGCAAGGAAGAGGGAGAGAGAGCGCGCGCGTCCCTGGTTACGGCGCGCGCGTCCCTGGATACGGCGCGCGCGTCCCTGGATACGGCGCGTCGGGAGCGTCTCTGGACGTGGCGCGCTAGGCGCGCGCGATAAGCGGCGATCGCCCCGTTAGGCGCTTCCGCCGGCTCGACGCGCGAGACGGAGATAGAGATAAAGTCGACATTAATAATAGAGCGGATATATTCGACGTAAGCCTGGAAGAGATATAATATACGATTTATGCGACGTACGATTTATATAATATATATGCGCCTCCGCCGGCTCGCGTCGTTTCGACGCGCCGAGAAGAGAGCGATAAGCGGCCTCGAACGTTTCCATCGCGTCTTAGGCGCCGCTCGAATTTAAATTCGAATTTTTCTTTCCGTTTGTAAAAAGGTGCGCGATGTATCGGGAGAGCACGCGGAGCGCGGCGTGTTTCTCGTCTCGTCGTAGACGTCGGATGCGAGTTCACCGCGCGCGAGCGCGCCACTCAAATTTTAACCTAAATGTGCGCGCGTTTTGTAAACGAGTGTACGATGTATCGGGAGAACACGTCGCGAATAGAGGCGTCTCTCGTCGAGGGAGGTCGTCGATCCTTCGTTCTCGCGGATCGACAGAGAGCGCATTGATCGGACGAGGGGCCTCGTCGCGCGCGCGATATCACGTCTTCGCGCTATATCGCGGGTCGTCGCACGCGTTCCTGTTCTCGGACTCGCCGCTTATCTCTCCTTTCGAGCGCGATAACGAGAGAGAAGCGGGATCCCGCTCGGATTTACGCGCGCGCGTGCACGCGAGGGATATTCGCGGCGACGCTTCCGTCGCCGTTCCTTCCTCTCGGACGCGCAGCAGCGAGAAACGCGCGCGATAACGCGCGCCGAATCCGGTCGAATGCGGTATTTCGACGGATTCGTCGTTTTTGAAGGCGAAAACCGCGCGACCGCGGAGAAATTTTTTCCCGCTCGTGCGACGTCGTCATCACTCGAACGAGTCACAGAGCCTTTGTTTACAACGTTAAACTAGACAGGTGGTTTAACGCGAAGTATCCGAAGGGTTATCCGTATCCGGAGGATTGGAAATTCCACTCGTTCGATTATCCCCAACCGGAAGTTCGATATTTCTCGCCGCTCGCACGCTGCGAGATTCGCGTGTCCGAGGATAACACGGGTAGGGTTCTGCGATACATGTACAATCGCGAGGACAGCAGTCGCGAGTACTCGTTCCGCCAGAGAATATTCTGCGGCGTCGATTTGATACGTTTGAGGCGCGAGATGTCATGAATGAGGTGCGCGTCGATTCGCCGATCGATCGCTACGTCCGAGTGTTGAAGGAGAAGATCGCGTGGAGCGTCGCGACCTATTCGACGAGGCGAGCGATCAGTCTTCGAGACGCGCGCAAGGAGTTGTGGATCGAGACGGTCCTGGTGTGTAGCGGAAGAGCGGCGAGATTCGCGATCATGCGCGAGGAGGAGCGCCGGGTGCTCGAGAGCGCGCGCGACGTCGTCATGACAGACGATTATCGCGCGTGGGCGCGACGATGCGAGGAGTGTCTCGCGACTCTGCGCGAGAGGTGTCTAGACGCGAGTCGCCGAATCTCTACGGGGGCGAGGACTTCTCTGGTCGCTCGAATCCTGCGAGTGATCGGTGCGAGGAACGATCTACGGCGACGCTTCGAGCGCGAGGGCGCGGGTGTCGCGAGACGCGAGGACGACGACGGCGGTAGCGGGGTCGAGTCGCGCGAGGGATTCTCGTGGTCCGAGATCGAGACAGCCTTCAAGAGACGCGTGTTGACCGGCGCGGTGATAAATCTCGATTACATCGAACCTCTGAGATTTCTCGAAAACGCAAGGGACACCGTGCTCCGCTGCGTGCGCGACGTCATGGGCCGATATCGCAACGTTAAGGTGAACACGACGTGAGAATTCGTGTCGGGCGATAGAACCGCCGTTAAGACGATCGCCAGAGAGAAACCATCCCCTTCTACCCACGACGGATCTGTGCGAGTGGTACGATACTCGCGTCATCGGCGATACCGTCGCGTCTTTGGAGGAGTTTCAAGAGCGCGACAGCGGATGGGCTCTATCGCGCATACTCGATCTAACGGTGAACGTGAACAAGTACAATCCCATGCGGGCGGGGTGCTACGTGCGAGTACCGCGAGAGATTCAGACGAAGAGAGCGGTGGTCAACATGCGATCCGACGACGAGGCGTGTTGGTTTCGCGTGGTCGGTGGTAGCCGTTCTGTATCCCGTCGATAAGAATTGCGAGAGAAGCTCGCGATCCGCATTACTCCGAGGTGTTGAATCTAGAGGGCTCGAAGTTACCTATGACTCTGAACGGAATCGGACGGTTCGAGCGTCTGAACGATATATCGGTGAATGTGTACATCGTCGGAGAGAGACGACACGGGAAGGGCAGCGGCGGCGGAATTCGCATCGTCCTTCTTCGTCTGATGGATCGAAAGAGGGAGAGACACGTCAATCTACTGTATCTGAGCGATGCGACGCGCGAGGGTATCGCGGTCGGACATTTCGCCTGTATCCGAAATCTGTCTCGTCTGATCGGCTTGCAGTTGAGCAAGCGACAGCACAGGACGCACGTGTGTGATCGGTGAGCGTTCGATCTCGATAAGTGAGAGCGAAATATCGATCTAACGCTTATTCTGTATTTTCTCAGATGTATGCATTACTTTCGCACGAGCCAGAAGCTGTCGGCGCACAGCGAGGATTGTTGCAAGCTGAACGATTGCGCGATCGTTCTTCCCGGTGAGGACGACAGGTGACTGGAGTTCGATCATCATTCGAGAAAAGAGCGAATTCCGTTCGCGGTGTACGCCGATCTGGAGTGCGCATTGGAGAGGAAGGAGGGGGACGAGGGCGAGAGAACCAAGAATACGAGGATCGTTCAGCATCACAGAGTTCACAGCGTGGCCTATTACACGCGTTGCTCCTTCGACGACGCCGCGTCGGCGTACGGATCTTATCGCGGCGAGGATTGCATCGCGTGGTTCGTGTGCGAGTTGAGCGATCTGGCGCTTCGCGCGAAGGTCGCTCTCGACGCCGTGGTACCGATGGCGGATCTGACGCCGGACGAGCGGGAGATATTCGCGGGCGCGTCGCGCTGTTACGCGTGCGAGAGACCGTTCGAGGCCGATGACGCTCGCGATCACTGTCACTTGACCGGCCGTTTCAGAGGTCCGGCGCATTCCGCGTGCAATTTGAATTACAAGGACTCCTACGTCATACCCGTATTCTTTCACAATCTATCGGATTACGACGCGCACTTCATTATCAAGGATGTGGCTAACGCGTATCCCGGCAGCGTCGAGTTGTTGCCGGTGACGAAGGAATCGTACATAGCTTTCTCGAAGACTGTTCGAGATACCGCGGCGGCGGAGGGAGACGAGGGAAACGCCGTTCCAGATGCGTCAAATTACGATTCGTGGACTCGTTCAAGTTTTTAGGCGCCGGTCTCGATAAGCTGGCGTCGTATTTCGACGAGAGCAAACTGACGATCGCGCGAGGCGAGTTTCGCGATCTCTCCGACGATGGCTTCTGGCTTCTCACGCGCAAGAGCGTGTTTCCGTACGAGTACGTCGACAGCGTCGAGAGATTGCGGGAGACGCGTCTCCCGCCGCGCAAGTCCTACAGTTCTCTGACCGGCGATACCGTATCGGAGAGCGATTACGCGCACGCGACGCTCGTCTGGAAGCGATTTAGCGTCAAAACGTTGGGCGAGTACAGCGATCTCTATCTGAAGACCGACGTTCTTCTGCTCGCGGACGTGTTCGAAAATTTTCGTGCCGCTTGCTTGGAGAGTTACGGTTTAGATCCCGCGTACTACTTCACGCTGCCGGGATACACGTGGGACACGATGCTTAAGTACACGGGGGTCCGTTTCGAGCTGCTCACCGATATCGAGATGATGATGTTCATGGAACGCAGAATACGCGGCGGTCTGAGTCAGTGCTCTAACAGATACGCTCGCGCAAACAACAAATACATGAGCGCGTACGATCCGTCGCGACCGTTGATCTATCTGATGTATCTCGATATCAATAATCTGTACGGTTGGGCGATGTGTCAGCCGTTGCCGTACGAGCGATTCGAGTGGGTCGACGACCTCGAGAGTTTCGACGTGATGTCCGTGACGGAGGACTCGACCGTCGGCTACATTCTCGAGGTCCGATCTCGACTATCCGGCCGACGTGCACGACGCCCATGCCGATTTACCGTTTTGTCCCACGCGCGATAAGCCACCGGGGAAGCGGCAGAGCAAACTCCTAGCCACGCTGTACGATAAGCACCGATACGTCACGCACTATCGCAATCTGCAGCAGTGCGTTCGTCACGGTCTGCGTCTGACGAGGATTCATCGCGCGCTGCGCTTCTCGCAGTCGCCGTGGGTTACGCGGATACGTAGAACTTAACACGCGCTTACGCATTAACGCGGAGTAACGATTTCGAGAAGAATCTGTACAAGTTGAATGAAACAACGCCGTCTTCGCATGAACCATGGAGAACCGTGCGCAATCGCGTGGACGTTCGACTCGCGACTCGATGGGACCGGGCGATTCGGAGCCGAGGCGCTCATCTCCAAGCCGAATTTTCACAGTAGAAGCGTATTCTCGGAGAATCTCATTGCCGTGGAATTGCGCAAATTGGAGGGCGAAGATCGACAAACCGATCTACGTCGGGCATGTCCATTCTCGATATATCCAAGATTCGTCTGTTACGCGTTTCACTACGAATACATGTCACCCCTCTACGGCGATAAGTGTAAAATATTGTACACCGACACGAACAGTCTCATTTATAGCATAGAGTGCGAGAACGCGTACGAGCGAATGAAGCGCGAAATCGATAGATTCGACACGAGCGATTATCGACAATCCCTACGGCGTGCCGCGCGCGAATAAGAAGGTTCTCGGTCTGATGAAGGACGAGAACAATGGCGCTCTCATGCTCGAGTTCGTCGGACTCAGAGCGAAGATGTACGCGTTGCGAGTCGAGGTAGGGCAACACTAAGAAGAGCAAGGGCGTAAAGAGCAGCTGAGAACGCTGACGTTCGACGATTACGCGCGCTGCCTGAGACGCGATATCGAGATGACCCGCGAGCGTCATGCTGAGATCCAGTTACGAGTGTACACCGTGCGCGAGTCGAAGGTCGCGTTCAATCTGTACGACATAAGCGTACGTGTGCCGGATCGACCGACACTCTGGCGTGGGGCACTACAGGATACCTCTGTGAGGAGAGGCGTGGATAGATCTTAAGCGCGATGCGACGTATTTTTTATAGATATGCGTAATGTATTTTATTATCTTTACTGTTACACAATATATATATATATATATATATATAAATATTACAGTGGCGTGCAAAGTTTCCGGCCAGTGACATTTTGCACTCTAATTATAAAAAAAAACTTTAATAAAATTTTAAACCATTATCAGGTTCTAATATAACATATAGAAATAAAATAATATAGTGAAAAGATATTATTTTGTTCATAAAAGTTTTATATAAAATTTTTAATTATATTAATTATGTTTACGTGTACAAAAGTTTCCGGCCACATAATATATTTGACCCGCAGTAGGATTCCAAAGAATTTTTTATAATAGTATCGTATTGAATGTTTTTACTTAATTCGTAGAAAGTCGTCAAAGCATATATGGCTCGAATACGCAAATTCAAATTCGTGAGAGAGTAATTAAGTTTTCAAAAAGACGAAAGTCTTCTCGTGAAATTGGTTCA